TTCAATTCTCGTTGGCTTAAGGTTTACAGCGTGCTTCTGTCTCCGCGCTGTTGTCGCCCTGTTGATGACGTCAGCTACACGGTTTCGTCGAGCGCGCTTTAGTCGAGCGCGGTTTTGTGGTGGAACCATTTTCGCGATAAAACAGGCATCTCAAGAAGAACTTTTCATATCAGAATTGGGGGAAAAGTAGAGAACTTTGGGAGATAGGAAAGGAATATAGGTAGGAATATCCCTCCCTCTCTTGTTGGTGAGCATTTTACATTTCTCCTTCCCGGGCTTGATCAGCTGATGACATAAACTACAAACTAACTCATTTCCTATCTGTGGATAGTTTTGTAGCTGGCATTCCTCCCATTTCTTTCTCAGCCTCCTACACTTGGCACTTCCCTCTTGGTGTCCCACCTAAGTGCTAACCAGACCGAGTGGCTCTGGGTTTGGGGTTCATTGGCTCAGATAAAATTGCCACTTGTGCACTTGGATGGGGTGGCACTACGCCAAACAGACCCTGTGTGCAACGTGGGGTTTTTCCTGACTCACGACTCCTGCTTGAAGAGCAGGTGGCAGTTGTGGCCAGGAGGGCCTTTGCGCAACTGCAGGTTGTGCGCCAGTTACACCCCTTTCCTGGACCGACAATCCCTACTCAGTCACTCATGCCTTAGTCACTTCCTGTACTGACTATTGCAACATGCTCTACATGGGGCTGCCCTTGAAGAGCATCTGGAAGCTCCAGTTGGTGCAAAATGCAGTGGCCCGCATGGTTTTGTGGAGACCCTGGTGTGCACTTGTATCACCTCTCCTGCGGGAGCTTCATTGGCTTGTTGATTTGCTTCCAGCTGCAATTCAAGATGTTGGTTGTCACCTTTAAAGCCCTTCATGGTTTGGGACCAGGTTATCTAAGGGCTGGTCATATCCAAGCGACCTATCAGAGCGGGGAGGCAGGAATGTTGTGGGTCCCATCCCTGAGGGAGATACACAGAAGAAGGACCTTCTCTGTGGTGGCTCCCTCTCTTTGGAGCATCCTCTTCCCAGAGATTAGAATGGCTCACTCTAACACTCTTCCGGGAGGCGCTGAAGACCTGGTACTGCCAGCAGGCCTGGGGAATCCAGAGTAGGATGAAGCCCATTAAATGGCTCATGTGAGGTGCTGTCGCTGGGGTGGGGGATGGTTTTATTATATTAATTTATTATATGACACTTCTTTTATTAGTTTTACTGTTTTATATGAGGTTTTATATTCTGCAAGCCGTCTTGAGTCATCATGTGCGAATAGGTGGCAATATAAATTCCCTAAATAAATAACCAGGTCCAACTCTTAATTCAAGTTTGGGAAGATCAGCCTCACCTAACGGGCTCAAGCTAATAGGTATCTTTGCTCTTCAAAAGACAAGATGCTCTAAAAAGTAGCATGGAAACACAAAATAACATATTCCTGAATACATGATTCCGGTATCCAGTAACATCCATCTCAATGTATTTCAAAAGATGGCGGAGACTAACTCCGAAAGATACACCGCAAGCATCCATTCCTCACCATCTGCTTCTGCTGTCCATCTTTGCCCATCCATCTTCCAGAAGAGAGGCGGTCAACGTGATCTTGGTCAAGGACACAGAGAGAGGCCAGGGCCAGCCACAGCTGCAGGAAAGAGGGCAGGTTCATTCAGCAAAATCAAGGCTTTACCGTGACTGGAAGCAATTGCTTATTTGTCTATTTATCGGGGCTTGGGTGCTGAGAGTAGGTTTATAGCCCTATTAATATTATTTTTATATTATAAGATTAACAGCAATAGCACTTTTTTTCCTCGTTCCAAAGGGTTTTATTTCTTTTAAAAAACACAAATATTTCATCATTCGTCAATCATTAAAACATTGAAGTACAATTTTTTTGTATGCCCCTCCCTCCCTCCCTCCCT